TTTTTAAATGAAGCGTTTAAAACAGTTTCGATGCCATAGTAACTTTTATAAAATATATCATATAGAAACCAAAAAGAATATTGACGAGGTTATAATAAAATTAGTCATATACTGCATTCATGGGAAAGTGATTGTAACGATCGCCTTATTTATGGGCAGCAGTTTTACTCAGAAAATTACTTAAGTTGAGAAACTAATCATTGTTTGGAAATATTCATTCCAAATATAACAACTACGAACCGGAAGCAGACCGAAGGTTAATCAAAAGTCAAAGGTGATTGGAAAACCTGTTTGGTAATAGAAATATATATTCCAGAAGCACATTGTAATATATATTGAATTTAGGCTAGCAAAACAAGTCAGTTGTTCGTAGGAAATTACACTTTTTGAATTCGTTTCTGATGAGAAGCTATTTTCTAAAGCATACTATTAGTAACAAAACCATGAAAAACTGGTTTTCTGTCTGTTTTTCTACTTTAAAACTTCCTTACAATTTTGCACCTTTGGCATTTAATCAACGTTTAACATTTTTAGCGCCAAACAGTTCGTATGGTATCAGTAACAATTACTTAACTGAAGACAGTATGAAGCGAAAATTCAGTCTTTCTGTATCTAAACGGATCCTATGTTTCTATTTTAAAAAAATAAATAGCATATACACGGAAAGTGATTCATCAGAAAGTTATGATAAACTCATTCCCATACTACTTATTTGTCTACTAACCAACATTATTAGTTGAAATGAGACTACTCATAATTAGTTTATAGAACGAAGTAACAGATGCATACTGAATAGATTGACGCTGTTTCTTTCTTGCTAAAAATTTATATGTCTGACATCATCAAAGCGGATTCATTTCACTTTATGAATTTTGTAGTAACTATATAACTGAAACATCAATGGCGACCGAATAGACAACAAAATGTAGTCGTATCGCCAAGATATTGTGTAGAATATACAGAAAAATTGGATAAAGATTTTTCACGTATTGTGCCTCAGAAGAATATAAATTATCAGAGTAAATCTTTTGCGTTGGCTGCCAGGGTCCAATAAAAATACGTCATAAAATTATGAGATGTTTTCGAATACTTCCAGATAGCGTAGTGGAAAAGGATGAAGCTGTCTATGAACACTGTTGTATTTGGTATAAACGAAGATGAACTGCATTGATTGGTCACAGGAGAGCAACTAACTTCATGTTGTCTAGTCTTGAGTGTAGACTTAATCCTATCGATCATATTTGCAATGTAGCCACCAAGCTAGGAGACTCAGCATGGCTGTGCGGTGACACGGTTTCGAATCTCAGGTGGGACATCAGTTCCATTGAGATTGCAGATACACCTTACTGATGGGTGTCAACAAGCACGGAACCTAAGTCCAGGGCTTCCTTCCGTTTACCTTCAACCGACTTACATCTACGAAGTTGAACTGTGTCAATAAATGGATATGTTTGGCGACACAAATAGCTCACTATAAATACGAACAAGTAGGCTAAATACTCAACAGTGAGAAGGAATATGAACTGCCAAGATGTAATTACGGCCTTAGTTAAACAGTGATCTGCAAAAGATAATACATTGAACTTTTAAGATACAGTAAAGAGTAATAATAAGAGATCAAAGTTTTTCACTATTTGTGCTCTCCGTTGGTAGTAATTATTTGTAACATCTTAAATAACTTCAGTTAAACAGTTCAACTTTACTATAAAAACAGTACAGTTTGTTTTTTTGGTTTGTTTTTGTTTGTTTTGTTTGTTTGTTTTTTTGTTACAAAGCTAGTCCGTCTTGACTATAGTCGCCTCATTGTAGTGATAACCTGTATACATGATTTCTACTGTGTAATGGGGACATGAAGATTGTTCGAAACATTAGCGTCATAAATTCTAAGCAGTCTGATCAGTCCTAAACATGTCGAATTATTTACATGTAAAATGAGAACTTTTGATGAAGTCAGTATAAGCATGAGTAGGGATGTTGATAAGAACACAGCAAAACCAGTAGGCAGAAAGATACTCTCAATGAGAAAATGGAAATCAGTACTACTATGGTGGGTTTGTTGTTAGTACAAACTGTTTTTAACAGGATAAATGAGGTTTAAAATTACTGATAGCAAGGGTTTCAATAAATCAGTATACTTGACCCTGACAACACCTACATAAAATGACAGATTATATTTGGTTTTGAATCCTCTAAGCACTTTTTCAAATGTATTGTGCAACAGATGTGCAAAACCGTTAGTCATCTACTTTTATTACACAGTTGAAAGTAATCTATCTATGGAGCCCTTTTCACAGCTAACCTTCTACAGACTGACCCTATGGGTGAATCATCTCATGTATGACTAGTCTTTATGTTCACTTTGGAGGTTTCAGGGGTGTATTTATTGGTTTCAGGTTGATATTCATCATGGGCTGACATCAGCTGATAAGACGTTGGGAACTTGGAAGCACCTCATAGCTGTAACATCTTAGTATGGGACGTATTGCCCGACCAGGGATCAGACCCAGGACCTTCAGTTTCCGCGACTAGCACGTTACTATTAGGCTGCTGCGTGATATTCCAACTATCCATGTTTCCTGCCTCTGTCTATACATGATATGGTGCAACCTCCATGCAATATTGTTATTGAGCATCTGTCCTCATACCATACTTGTTTGACCGGGTAGCTCAATGGCAACCTGAAAGTCTCCTGGTGGGGTCATAAGTGTGCACTACTGAGGGGTCCCATACTGGGACGAAGGAGCTATCCAGTCTTCTCAGGTTTTCAGTGCTTCTCCAAGTGAAATCCATTGTGCAGAAATGGCAGTTTGTAATCTGACTCTATTTCATTAGTAAGACTTTTACAGTTTCCAGTAGTATTCACTTTCGACAATGAACTCACTTGGTTACCGTGTCATTAACAAATAAATATCATTATGTACATATGTGCTATACAGAGAAAAGTATTTCTAGTCAAACATTCCTTACCCCATATTGTTTGAGATTAACACGCAGGTTAGTAACCATCAGTACACAGAAATAATTCATCAAGTGGAACAGCTGTTTCATGTAACATTTTATTCCCGAAAATAAGGGATACTTTTCAAGTTCATTGATACGATAACAAGAAAGAAATTTTCAGTTATAACTTAAATACCTTTTGAATACTATAAGGACTGTCACATCAGCTAAATGATCTCATCAACAATAGAAAACAACTTTCTTGTAACATCGTTAGAAAAAATTATGTGATTACACTATCCAGTAGTTATCTTTGAAAACTTTTTCAGTCAAGACTGAATATCCTTTATGAAGAGGTTAACAGAGTTGACGAATAGGTTCATGACATTCTTTGGCAGCTGTTGAGGTTCTCATTGACGTATTATCCACAATTCAAAATAAACATATGGTTACATAAACTGCAAACACATCTATATAGGAAACCAACATGCCAACAGTGACTGAAAAAAACACTTTCATAACTCAATAGTAAGAGAGTTACAATTTACTTTTCAACACCACCCAATCATGTAAAGAACATTATGGCTTGTGATTGGTAATCCTAGTAGAAATCTGTTTCTTTATTCTTCCTACACACTTCAAGTACATGTGAAGTGTATGTTGATTCTTATCGAAACACCAACTTCCTTGAAAGCCAAAGTAAGAAACAATGGTTTCTTCTCCTTCTCCCTTCTCCTTGCTTCTGCAGTAATTCTAAATAAACTTCGTTGGATGACCATCACTGTATGGTCAGTTGAAATTCTTCTCGCTCTGCTTCTTAGAAACATAGTCTTTCTCGCGTTTGACATAACATCTTCACTAAATCTTGCTTGTAGAAACCTTTGGAGTTTAAATACTGACCAGTCCGTATAGTTTTGCGGTGAATATTCGTCTCTATTTACCCTCTTTATTGCGTCTTGGTCATTAAGAGGGAAAATTCAGATGCTGCCTCCATTCACATTCCATCGTAAACCGAATACTTGGTGTGTATCATTGCTTATTAAATATCTACACAGATAATGAAGATATCATCAACATATCTTGAATGAAACATGTGTACATCGACCGCAGATTCTAGTATGCAGTTTTCTAAGCCTTACTAATTTCCTTTAGCCACACGTCCGAATTGCCAAAATATATTGCCTCTGAATTGGAAGTGAACATGTTTCGTGCACAAGGACCGGTGAGTTGAGCAACAGCTATACCATACAGTTTCACCTATATTCATTCAGTAGTGTGCGTAGTTTTTTTTTGGAGACTAATTATCCATCGTCACTATCTGAAAAAAGGAGTAAGGCACTGGATTCCTAACTGATGCTTAAAAAGTAAAATCCACTTTATCTGATTCAGCAGACAGAACTTGTTGACACTGTTTGACTGCGTACTGTTTACATAAGTCCTGAAGTTAGAAAAATGATATTAGGATAGTCTTAAACTAGAATGACCCATAAGAAAAGAGCTGAAAGACCACCATTCTACAACATGGTCAATTTTTACTTTTAGAAGGGTTTTAAGTAATCACAAAAATATTACTTCCCTATGAAAGTGGCAGCGCAAGGCGACCACCCTCAAAATCAGACGTGTTTATCACGAAATTTCAATAAAATCGCGTGACAATATGCGTTATTATCAAACTGGATGACAAAGCACAATTAATGAAAAATGATGTTCTAAAAAAGGCCTTAAGTCATTCAGGTACATTATAAAAATACGTATGCTGTTGTTCTTCATGTATAGCTAACTAGACCTTTAATCATTTTGCCAATTCATCTTTTTCGAAGAACAAAAAGACGACCACGGTGAGACCTGACGACCGTTGTTCTAGTCTTCAAACAAATGCAAACAAGTCACGATAACATCATCATTATTACTAACCAATTACGGAAATATATGTTCCCCTAAATGGCTAACCAATAAAAAAAGTGTAATTACATGTGATGTTTTCTGATTGGTTAATTTTTATCATGTATTCAACCTTGACGTATCATTTAAGAAAATCATTGAAGCGAATTGACTCATTTATATTATATTATGAAAACTTAAAAATGACATTCTTACTATCAATTTTTTCATTTATATTTCTTGAATGAACAGGTATCATAAATAAATGAAATCGAAATGAAAATCAAAGAATTAACTAAACAGTTCAGCTTAAAAAAGGTAAATACAAATGGACAATAATAGAAATGATTTTACATCGATTTACTCAGGTCCACCATTGTCAATGGCAAGTAAACAAATAGAAAATGGACTTTTAAACTGTAAACAGTTACCTAACTCTAAAATGTTTTATATGTCTAATTCCACAATTAACACGGCCGGGAACAATAATATTAGCAATAATAATAATGATACTATATCTAATTTCAACAATCATAGTTATCAAGAAGCCACAAAAATCATGAAAGTGTATATTCTCTTCTATCCAAAGAAGAACAAATCAAGAACAATTCAAAATCAATCTTCATTCGTATGTTATTACCAAATAAATATAAATCAGTAAATAATAATGCAAAAAGGATACAGAAGCATGAAATACCGTCAACATCGAACAGAAATGTTACTTTTATTGAGTTTACAAGCTGTAAATCTGAGAATTTAAATCAAGCACTCAATGAACCTGAATACATTCAAATGAAACCATCATTGAAACATAGAACAAAGTCATTGCTATTCAACACATTCTCTATGAAACCATTTACTTGTTCTGAATCAAATACAAATTTTAATATTTGCTCAAATTTATCTGATTATATTCATGCAAATGATAGACGTAAACAAATGTTGATGGCTATCATTGTAATATTCATTTTGTTATTGATCATTATGATTATTACTATGATCGTATTATATAATCAGTTTGATGAATCACTAGTTACATTGTCATTATCGCCATCCTCCTCCTCCTCATCATCATCATCAACCTTATCACCGGTGAATAGATTATCAAATTTAAACAAACCACACTTTCCACCACTATTGTCTTCATCTTTATCAACTACTGATTACATGAATAGTAGTAGTAGTAGTGATAGTATGAAAGATCAAAAGTGTAAAACACAAAAATTTTGTTTAAATATTAGTTGTTTACAAATTGCTTCTATATTAGCTGAACGTTTAGGACGATATAATCGACCTAAAAGCTTAATGAAATTATTAGATAAATGTTCACCTGAACAAGTTGATGAAATTATTAAAATCTTTTATATTGGTGATGAATTTCACTTATCGAATAGTGCAAATAGTTTGCATAAATTTAAACAAAAGCGTTTATTCAATTTATGGTCATATGTAAGTGATCAATTACAATCATACATTATTGAGGATAAGAATCGTCCTTTACTATTATGGACAGAGAAATTGGCTTATTTATTTCAACGTTTAATTGATCAGTATATGTTTAAGAAAAATATTACTAATACTGTTGTGAATAATATCCATGAAAGTAACTCTGGTGTTGCTACAAATAACACTAATCGTAAGTTATCATTGGATTCCACGAGAAGTAATATTCAAAGAAATCCTAAGATGCTATTGGCTATTAGAAACACAAGTTTATTGTATTCTTCAACTGGACTTCGAAGAGATGAAGTGTCTCAATCTTCGCCTGCCTCTTCTTCTGTATCCTTTCTGTTTCCATTCACAGTTACGGTAACAGAGGGATCAGGATTGAGTGAATTCGACACAATTAGTAGGTCATATCATACAGAATTCGAGCAGTTGAATGCCTTACTACAAATGGGGAATATTGCATTTCATGGACTTGGTGAGTACTTCTCGAAATCTGTTCTCTTCAATTTTAATTCATTCGAGTTAATAAAAATGAGTATTTAAAGGATGAGTTAATTTTAAGTAGGTTGTTTTCGAATTGATTAGTATGCAAGATTAAATAAATAATTAACGTCAGTTGTACTGCCTATGCGTACTGAAGCACACCAGAAACCTTGACAATGATAAGTGTTGTGGTTAGCAATGGATTTGATTGCATGCGTTCTGCACTATTTGAGACTCGTCAGCCGGATGCATCTGCCTTCCGGTTAGTGAAGTTCTTCTCATTATGCCCCGTAACTAGGACCAATCACTTCAAATGCCGAGCTTTAGCATCACAATAGAAATTTCTTTACTGCCTCTCACAAGTTAAATTTTATCATGCTTCCCTAGCACTGTACAAAGTAATTTGTGGTCAAAACATGGATGATTTTGATAGTGACGAATGACACTTATTACTTGGTATATTTTATACTGTATACATTGCTTATGAGATATCTTAATTTATCTCAACTATTGTCTGAAGACGGGAAAAGAAAAGGTGTTGATAAAAGATATTCCACGCATTTTGTGACACTTACTCAACGATGACTTTGTCCTTTTTGTCGTCTTAGAAATAGCCCACGGATTCCATTTTTGAGTTATGTCGGAAAAAATAAAAAGTAAGACTGTAAAGCTTTATCTAGTTCCCATCTAACGATGTAGATGTTTTTGTTTCATGAAAACTGTCGCCAGTCTATCCGTTTTACTTCAGAAGGTGGTTGAATAAATAGTTAGTTTGAGGTACTCTTAATCTACCATAGAAATTTTCCAACACGATACTTTACTCGAATACAAAAAGAATAGACTTTGTATTATGAAGCATTTAGCGTCACTGATTAATTTGTTTTAGGTAATGAAGATTATTTCGTAAACATATGATGCACTGGCTTTATGAATTATAAACAACCTAATCACACATGAACATGTCAAATAAGACACATTTGTAGGAAATATATCCCATTTCTGTTAGGAGTTAGGAGTCAGTGGACAGGAAACCCTAGGTTTCTTGCCCTATGGCACTCATCAATGAGGCATAACTGCAATCAAGAGGGAAATACTGTTTCCTTAATTTTTCCAACCTGTTCTGTTCAGTGATCAAGTCAGATGCTTCACCGATTGGCCATTCAATTCATGAATGACCTTCTGTAGGGTAGGCATGAATAAGTAAACTAGTCGACAGACTTTAATCAGTACTCAGCACCAAGGATTAAACATCCACATTTTTTACTCATTGGTGATCAATTCGTATATTCCAATTTAGTCACAACGAAAATATAATACTTTGTTAATCAGTAGTATCATGGATGTAGGCTAGTTTGTCATGACACTCGGAAGGTATGCAAATAAAACAGGTAGGAATTTCATGTGGTAAAGGTTGAAATTTTAATATATATGTACTGGGTGATGACTGAAGGTGAGATGAAAATCTGGATTGCAGCCGGATTCGAACCAGCGACCACCGGGTTACCGGCCCGGTGCTCTACCAACTGAGTTACGAGGTCCGAATGCTGACTAGAATATTATTTCACTTCAATCACCAAGGATTTTGACTGACTGCCATGTGAATTCGTGATGTATTACTACCGCTTGGTCGTATTCACACTGGCTGCCGACTGAAATAAATTCTGGTCAGCATTCGAACCTCGTAACTCAGTTGGTAGAGCACCGGGCCGGTAACCCGGTGGTCGCTGGTTCGAATCCGGCTGCAGTCCAGATTTTCATCTCACCTTCAGTCATCACCCAGTACAAATACTAGCCTGTCAAACTATTTTAGATAGTCAAATGATCATATACATGTGCATACCCAGTAAATCATAATCAAACCACTTCTGCTGATCTTAAATATCAGACTCTGCTGCTTATTGCAGAATAAAGATTTGGTAAAAAAGCAAAATAACACCTTGATGACTGGGTTATTTTAACCAAGTGAAGTGGTTATCCATTCCCAAGCCCCTCTAAAGATGAACTGTAGAGATAACCAAATTTTCTTAAGTACTAGGTGTGTGATCAAAGGAATACGTAAACCACAAATATATGGAAATTCTTCATGCCGAAGACAATCACCGTTGTTATTCTGAGCTTGTTATAAGACTAAGAGATGGTCACCAGTATGGGTTTACATTTCAATCAGCTGATGCCTGGAATGAATCTTCTTATAAATACAAACATCTAAAGAAACTGTTTAATGTGTTTGCTGACTATATTTTAAATTATCTTTCAGTTTACTCAGAATTAAACATGAGTGTGTGATTGTTGAGATAGAAGGATTTATCTGGGCAGTGTAACTCTACGGGAGAGCAAATTTTGCAACAATTCCTTTAAGTATAAGAGTGAAACTTGGCCACTGTGGTCGATTATAATTCCAACTTTGTCTGTTTATTAGAAATATCACACAGTGAAGAAACAGTGGCATTTACTTGACAACGTTTCGGACACATTTTGTTACCCATATTCATGTCAGGTAACTCCACAACTGCGAGACAGAGTTGATAGATTCCTAATTTTCTCTCCTTCTCTGTGATGACAATGGTAGTAGAATTTTCCATATATCTGGGACAGGTGAAGAATCACTTCGATTACATGCATTTGGTGTTGAATCGATAGATAAACAAAGATTCAGTTATCAATCTCGCTCTCCACCCAACTAAGTTAGTTTTCAAAAGTGTCAACCTATCTTACCTTACTGTGTGATTGTGTGTCATAGCGTACAGGGCTATAGATGAGCTTTTCTCCAGATTCCTTATCTTAGACTTCGAATCCTCCCACCCATTTCAGGTAAAGTAGGCCTAGTTAAATGCTTAAGTGATAGAGCGAAGAAGCTTACTAGTAGACAGAGAAATCTGCAACAAGAAATTGAACACATCCAAAATTCCCTACGTCTCAGTGTTACCCACCAAAATTTATAAATAAATTCATAAGAAATCGAAAGAAAAATACTAACAGTGGTAGTACTCGTGATACAGGTGTTATTAATAATAATTCCACTACTAGTGGTAATAATGATGACAGGGTTGAGAGAGAATTCAAAGCCTCAGCTGTGTTACCATACAAGGAAGGCAACTCAGAAGCATCACGAATTCTCAATGAGGCTGGGAATAAAGTGGCATTCAAACCAACAAACTAGCTTAGAAACAAGCTTAGTAGGTTAAAAGATCCTATCTGGTTTACCAAATCCCTTGTGATGATTGCGAGGTCAAGTAAATGGGTTACCGTAGCCGATCAGGGTCGGTTACAATAAAATAGCACAAAAACTTAGCTAAATCAAGATTACTAGATCCCGATTAAATAAGGAATTTAGAGAAAAGCTCATCTATAGCCCTGTACGCTATGACACACAATCACACAGTAAGGTAAGATAGGTTGACACTTTTGAAAACTAACTTAGTTGGGTGGAGAGCGAGATTGATAACTGAATCTTTGTTTATCTATCGAATCAACACCAAGTGCATGTAATCGAAGTGATTCTTCACCTGTCCCAGATATATGGAAAATTCTACTACCATTGTCATCACAGAGAAGGAAAGAAAATTAAGTATCTATCAACTCTGTCTCGCAGTTGTGGAGTTACCTGACATGAATATGGGTAACAAAATGTGTCCGAAACGTTGTCAAGTAAATGCCACTGTTTCTTCACTGTGTGATATTTCTAATAAACAACTTAAAATGGAACTCTTTTAAGCGCTTTTTGAACGTAGAATAGCCAAACATTTATGCATTACAATACCTCACAGGCCTTTACACATAACTATTCATGAAGAAAGTGGACTGATATCTTCAGAACAGGCTGACTAATTTAGTCTAGTATACAATTACTGTCAATGTAATCATTCAGTGTGACGATACAAAATATTATTTGTTTGAACAAGATAGTGAAGCACGAATTGATGACTTCCGAATATTACACTTAGATCTACTATAACAAAGTTTTACACATAGAATTCAAGACAGGATAGAACCTTTTCCTACCAAAACTTCTACGTTAAAGCCTAATGATTCGGGTGATTTAATTAAAGACTTACTTCTTTGGTGGTTAACATTTGATAATTTAGTATGATAGGTGGAATATTGTACATTTGGTTTCCTCCCTTTTACTTCTGGACAATACAGCATACCTGAAGACTCCAGTAAATTCTTGTTTTTCTAGCGACTAAAACTCACTATTCACCAGAGATGAGTTTTTCAATCTGAGTTTAAAGCTAGAGACATTTTGTTAATTTAGATGCGTTGATTTTCCAAATCTAGTTCCTCGTTTAATTTCATAAAAATAACTGTTTATTATTTTCATTCGAAATACAATAAGATTTAACCGGCATTTTCCATCGAGAATTTCCAGCTAAAACATACATATGATAATTTGGTTGGTTGTGGCTAGCGGAAGAATTTAGGATGCGTGTTTCGCCCTATTTGGGACTCGTCAGCTGGATGTGCCTGCACCCCAGTAATGTTGTTCCAACTGAGACTCAAACCTGGTACCATCGCTTCAAACGGCAAGTCGTTATCCATTATGTCATAGAGAAACGACAGCCCCTTCTTGTACAACGGGTAGTAGTTATTACTATTTATTGACATACTTGTTATTCTGCGTTGTTTTGTTGGATCGAATTGTTCGACCTTTATTGTTTTATAGGCTCCTATGCGGATGCATTGATATTGACTGAATGTTAATTAAGATAATTTGGCTGGTTGTGGCTAGTGGAAGAATCCCAGACGGAGAATAACAAGTATGTCAATAAATAGTAAAAATATATATAGTTAATAGATTTGAGTCAATTATTTATAGAAATCAAGGTTAATAAACTATAAATGCATAATTAATTCACTAACTTTTTCATTCATTCTATCATACATGAACCGTTACTTCTCGCTACAAATACAAAGTGATAATCAAGAATTCATTGTTTTTGTTTTCTTTTGTAGTATAATGTAACATCAATGAGTCTTGCGTTTTGTAATGTT